AAAAATTTGTTTAAAGCTGATTAAATGTAATTTGACGTTTCTTGTAAATGAAGTTACAAAACAATGTTTTTCTCCAAAACAGTTTGGAATTGAGAAATGAAACTTTTTGGGGTTACAGAAGAACGTTTGAGGTAATATTGTACCAAATTTCATGTTTCCAGCATGTATAGTTTTTTTTTTAATTTTTAAAAATTATTTAGTGCAATTTGACGTTTGTTGAAAATGAAGTTATAACATTTTTTTTTCTTCTAAAACCGTTTGGAATTAAAGATTGAAACTTTTTGAGGTTGTAGAAGAACGTTTGAGGTTAGATTATACCAAATTTCATGTTTCCAGCATTTATAGTTTTTTGAAAAAAATTGTTTAAACTGATTAATTGTAATGTGACGTTTCTTGTAAATGAAGTTACAAAACAATGTTTTTCTCCAAAACAGTTTGGAATTGAGAAATGAAACTTTTTGGGGTTACAGAAGAACGTTTGAGGTAAGATTGTACCAAATTTCATGTTTCCTGCATGTATAGTTTTTTGTAAAAAAAATTTTAAAAATTATTTAGTGCAATTTGACGTTCCTTGAAACTGAAGTTATAAAGATTTTTTTTTATTTCTTAAACGGTTCGGTATTAAAGATTAAAACTTTTTGAGGTTGTGGAAGAACGTTTGAAGTTAGATTATACCAAATTTCATGTTTCCAGCATTTATAGTTTTTTGAAAAAAATTGTTTAAAGCTGATTAATTGTAATTTGACGTTTCTTGTAAATGAAGTTACAAAACAATGTTTTTCTCCAAAACAGTTTGGAATTGAGAAATGAAACTTTTTGGGGTTACCGAAGAACGTTTGAGGTAATATTGTACCAAATTTCATGTTTCCAGCATGTATAGTTTTTTTTTTAATTTTTAAAAATTATTTAGTGCAATTTGACGTTTGTTGAAAATGAAGTTATAACATTTTTTTTTCTTCTAAAACCGTTTGGAATTAAAGATTGAAACTTTTTGAGGTTGTAGAAGAACGTTTGAGGTTAGATTATACCAAATTTCATGTTTCCAGCATTTATAGTTTTTTGAAAAAATTTGTTTAAAGCTGATTAATTGTAATTTGACGTTTCTTGTAAATGAAGTTACAAAACAATGTTTTTCTCCAAAACAGTTTGGAATTGAGAAATGAAACTTTTTGGGGTTACAGAAGAACGTTTGAGGTAATATTGTACCAAATTTAATGTTTCCTGCATGTATAGGTGTTGTAAAAAAAATTTTAAAAATTTATTAGTGCAATTTGACGTTTCTTGAAAATGAAGTTAGAAAATTTTTTTTCTTCTAAAACGGTTTGGAATTATAGATTGAAACTTTTTGAGGTTGTGGAAGAACGTTTGAGGTTAGATTATACCAAATTTCATGTTTCCAGCATTTATAGCTTTTTGAAAAAATTTGTTTAAAGCTGATTAAATTGTAATTTGACGTTTCTTGTAAATGAAGTTACAAAACAATGTTTTTCTCCAAAACAGTTTGGAATTGAGAAATGAAACTTTTTGGGGTTACAGAAGAACGTTTGAGGTAATATTGTACCAAATTTCATGTTTCCCGCATGTATAGTTTTATGTAAAAAAAAATTTAAAAATTATTTAGTGCAATTTGACGTTTGTTGAAAATGAAGTTATAACATTTTTTTTTCTTCTAAAACGGTTTGGAATTACAGATTAAAACTTTTTGAGGATGTGGAAGAACGTTTGAGGTTAGATTATACAAAATTTCATGTTTCCAGCATTTATAGTTTTTTGAAAAAAATTGTTTAAAGCTGATTAATTGTAATTTTACGTTTCTTGTAAATGAAGTTACAAAACAATGTTTTTCTCCAAAACAGTTTAGAATTGAGAAATGAAACTTTTTGGGGTTACAGAAGAACGTTTGAGGTAATATTGTACCAAATTTCATGTTTCCCGCATGTATAGTTTTATGTAAAAAAAAATTTTAAAATTATTTAGTGCAATTTGACGTTTCTTGAAAATGAAGTTATAAATTTTTTTTGCTTCTAAAACGGTTTGGAATTAAAGATTGAAACTTTTTGAGGTTGTGGAAGAACGTTTGAGGTTAGATTATACCAAATTTCATGTTTCCAGCATTTATAGTTTTTTGTAAAAATTTGTTTAAAGATGATTAATTGCAATTTGCTGTTTCCTGTAAATGAAGTTATAAAACAATTTTTTTCTCCAAAACAGTTTGGAATTGAGAAATGAAACTTTTTGGGGTTACAGAAGAACCTTTGAGGTAATATTGTACCAAATTTCATGTTTCCTGCATTTACAGTTTTTTCTAAAAAAAAATTTAAAATCATTTAGTGCAATTTGACGTTTCTTGAAACTGAAGTTATAAAGATTTTTTTTTTATTTCTGAAACGGTTTGGTATTAAAGATTAAAACGTTTTGAGGTTGTGGAAGAACGTTTGAGGTTAGATTATACCAAATTTTATGTTTCCCGCATTTACACTTTTTTGTAAAAATTTGCTTAAAAATCATTCATTCCTTTTCTGGGAAATGGGATTGAATTGAAAAATATGACTTATATTGAGTGATAAAGAATTGTTTGAAAATCGTTTGTACCAAGTTTTAAATTTTTTGGTTGAACGGTTTTGATAAAAAAAGAAAAAATATTAATTGTCGGTTTGTATTTGACATTTTTTGAAAATAACGTCATAAAATTTTTTTTCTCCAAAACGGTTTGGAATTAAGTAATGAAACTTTTTAGGGTTACAGAAGAACGTTTAAGGTAAGGTTGTACCAAATTTCATGTTTCTCGCATTTACAATTTTTTGTAAAAATTTGCTTAAAGATCATTCATTGCAATTTGACGTTTTTTGTAAATTAAGTTACAAAACAATTATTTTCTCCAAAACGGTTTGGAATTGAGAAATGAAACTTTTTGAGGTTATAGAAGAGCGTTTTAGGTCAACTCATACCAAATTTCATCTTTCCAACATGAACAGTTTTTTGTGGCTTTTGTATAAAATATTTTAAAAATCATTGATTCAATTTGACGTTTCTTGAAAATGAAGTTACAAAAAAATTTGTATCTCCAAAACGGATAGGAATTAAAAGCTGAAACATTTTGGGGTTATAGAAGAGCGTTTGAAGTTAAATCATACCAAATTTCATGATTCTAACATAAACAGCTTTTTGTATAAAGTTTTTTAAAATTTAATATCAATTTGACGTTTCTCGAAAATGAAATTCCAAAAATATTTTTTTCTCCAAAACTGTTAGGAACTAAGATTTGAAACATTTTGAGGTTATAGAAGATCGTTTGAGGTTAGGTCATACCAAAGTTCATGTTTCCAACATGAACAGTTTTTTATATAAAATGTTTTAAAAATCTGATTACAATTTGACGTTTCTTGAAAATGAAATTTCAAATTTTTTTTTTTCTTCTAAACGGTTAGGAATTAATAATTGAAACTTTCTGAGGTTGTAAAAGAACATCTGAGGTTAGATCGTACCAAATTTTATGTTTCCAACATTAACAGTTTTTTGTAAAAAAATTATTAAAAATCATTGATTCAATTTTACGTTTCTTGAAAATGAAATTAAAAAATTTTTTTTTCTCCTAAACGGTTAGGAATTAATAATTGAAACTTTTTAAGGTTATAAAAGACCATCTGAGGTTAGATCATACCAAATTTCATGTTTCCTGCATTAACAGTTTTTTGTAAAAAAATTATTAAATAACTTTGATTCAATTTGACGTTTCTTGAAAATGAAATTTCAAAAATTTTTTTTTCTCCTAAACGGTTAGGAATTAGTAATTGAAACTTTTTGAGGTTGTAAAAGAACATCTGAGGTTAGATCGTACCAAGTTTTATGTTTCCAACATTAACATTCTTTTATAAAAAATATTATTAAATATCATTGATTCAATTTGACGTTTCTTGAAAATGAAATTTCAAAAATTTTTTTTTCTCCTAATCGGTTAGGAATTAATAATTGAAACTTTTTGAGGTTGTAAAAGAACATCTGAGGTTAGATCATACCAAATTTTATGTTTCCAACATTAACAGTTTTTTGTAAAAAAATTATTAAATATCATTGATTCAATTTGACGTTTCTTGAAAATGAAATTTCAAAATTTTTTTTCTCCTAAACGGTTAGGAATTAATAATTGAAACTTTTTGAGGTTGTAAAAGAACATCTGAGGTTAGATCATACCAAATTTTATGTTTCCAACATTAACAGTTTTTTGTAAAAAAATTATTAAAAATCATTAATTCAATTTGACGTTTCTTGGAAATGAAATTTCAAAAATTTTTTTTTCTGCTAAACGGTTACGAATTAATAATTGAAACTTTTTGAGGTTGTAAAAGAACATCTCAGGTTAGATCATATCAAATTTTATGTTTCCAACATTAACAGTTTTTCGTAAAAAAATTATTAAAAATCATTGATTCAATTTGACGTTTCTTGAAAATGAAATTTCAAAATTTTTTTTTTCTGCTAAATGGTTAGGAATTAATAATTGAAACTTTTTGAGATTGTAAAAGAACATCTGAGGTTAGATCATACCAAGTATTATGTTTCCAATATTAACAGTTTTTTGTAAAAAAATTATTAAATATCATTGATTCAATTTGACGTTTCTGGAAAATGAAATTTCAAAAAATTTTTTTTTTCTTAAACGGTTAGGAATTAATAATTGAAACTTTTTGAGGTTGTAAAAGAACATCTGAGGTTAGATCGTATCAAGTTTTATGTTTCCAACATTAAGAGTTTTTTGTAAAAAAATTATTAATTCAATTTGACGTTTCTTGAAAATAAAGTTACAAAAAATTGTTTATCTCCGAAACGGTTTTGATTTAAGAATTGAAACATTTTTGTGTTATAAATGAACGTTTTATGTTATATTATACCAAATTTCATATTTCCCACATTTACAGTTTTTCGTATAAAAATTTTTAAAATAAAAATCACTCAATTTCGTCACTTTTTATTAAGTACTCATAAATAACATATCTCTTAACCTAAAAATAAAACTTAATTCNGTCTTCGGGGGCTAATCGGATAGTTTCAACTCTTTGAACGCGATCCTGATGAAATTCAAATTCGTTTCTCATGCTGAGTAATCGTAAAAGTTCCATAAAAGTTTGAGACCCAACTTTTGGAACTCGGTTGAAAAAGAGTATGTCTCGCTTTGCTTTTTTCGTGTTATTCAACTGGTACGGTTCCAAAGAAGTCATCTGAAACTGTTTAAGAAAAAATCAACCTTGAATACAACCAAATGAGAAAAAAACGAGCAAGAAAGTAAAAAATCCGGTTTAAAATAATCTGGATTTTTCACTTTCTTTTTCTTTCTCGATACTTGAATTGGTTAAGGTCCGGTTAAGGTTTCGAGTTAAAACGATAAAGTTTCACTTGAAGACATTGACTTATTTTTTTTTAAACTTTCTTTAGAGTCTATTAGGTAGATTTTTAGGAAAAGGATTTAGAGAAAATGCATTTCTTCAAAACGGGTTAGAATTGAGAAAAGAAATTTTTTAGGGTTATAGAAGAACGTTTTAGGTTAGATTATACCAAATTTCATATTTCCTGCATTAACAGATTTTTGTACAAACAATTTTAAACATCATTGATTTCAATTTGACATCTTTAGAAAATAAGGCTGAAGAAAAGTATCAATTTCTTCGAAATGGATTGGAATTGATAAATATAACTTATACGGGGTCATAAAGGGTTGTTTGAAGATAGGTTGTACCAAATTTTAAGTTTCTAGGTTGAACGGTTTATTTATAAAAAGATACATAAATCGTAGCTTTTAATTTGACGTTCTTTAAAAGTTAGATTAAAGAAAAGTATCTATTTCTCAGAAATGGATTGGAATTGAAAAATATAACTTATATGGGATCATAAAGGACTGTTTGAAGATAAGTTGTGCCAAATTTTAAGTTTCTAGGTTGAACGGCTTATTTATAAAAAAATACATAAATCGTTGTTTTTAATTTGACGTTCTTTAAAAATAAGGTTGAAGAAAAGTATCTATTTCTCCGAAATGGATTGGATTTGAAAAATATAACTTATATGGGGCATAAAGGATTATTTGAAGGTAGGTTGTGCCAAATTTTAGGTTTCCAGATTGAAAGGTGCTTTTTAAAAAGAAAAATTTGTCGTACATATACAATATACATATTGAAAATGAATATTAAAAAAATCTTTTCTCGAAAACGGTTTGAAATTGAGAAATGAAACTTTTTGGGGTTATACAAGAATGATTGAGGTTATATTATACCAAATTTCATGTTTCCAACATGAACAGTTTTTTGTATAAAATGTTTTAAAAATCTGATTTCAATTTGACGTTTCTCGGAAATGAAGTTACAAAAAAATTTTTTTCTCCAAACCGGCATGGAATTATGCGTTGAAACATTTTGAGGTTATAAAAGAACGTTTGAGGTTAAATCGTACCAAATTTCATGTTTCCAACATGAACAGTTTTTTGTATAAAATGTTTTAAAAATCTGATTTCAATTTGACGTTTCTCGAAAATGAAGTTACAAAAAAATTTTTTTCTCCAAAATGGCTTGGAATTATGAGTTGAAACATTATGAGGTTATAAAAGAACGTTTGAGGTTAAATCGTACCAAATTTCATGTTTCCAACATGAACAGTTTTTTTTTGTATAAAATGTTTTAAAAATCTGATTTCAATTTGACGTTTCTCGAAAATGAAGTTACAAATATTTTTTTTTTCCAAAACGAAATGGAATTATGAGTTGAAACATTTTGAGGTTATAAAAGAACGTTTGAGGTTAGATCATACCAAATTTCATGTTTCCAACATGAACAGTTTTTTGTATAAAATGTTTTAAAAATCTGATTTTAATTTGACGTTTCTCGAAAATGAAGTTACAAAAAAATTTTTTTCTACAAAACAGCTTGGAATTATGAGTTGAAACATTTTGAGGTTATAAAAGAACGTTTGAGGTTAGATCATACCAAATTTCATGTTTCCAACATCAACAGTTTTTTGTATAAAATGTTTTAAAAATCTAATTTCAATTTGACGTTTCTCAAAAATGAAATTACAAAAAAAATTTTTTCTCCAAAACGGTTAGGAATTAAGAGTTGAAACTTTTTGGGGTTATAGAAGACCGTTTTAGGTTAGATCATACCAAATTTCATGTTTTCAACATGAACAGTTTTTTATATAAAATGTTTTAAAAATCTGATTTCAATTTGACGTTTCTCGAAAATGAAGTTACAAAAAAATGTTTTTCTACAAAACAGCTTGGAATTATGAGTTGAAACATTTTGAGGTTATAAAAGAACGTTTGAGGTTAGATCATACCAAATTTCATGTTTCCAACATCAACAGTTTTTTGTATAAAATGTTTTAAAAATCTGATTTCAATTTGACGTTTCTCGAAAATGAAGTTACAAAAAAAATTTTTTCTCCAAAATGGCTTGGAATTATGAGTTGAAACATTATGAGGTTATAAAAGAACGTTTGAGGTTAAATCGCACCAGATTTCATGTTTCCAACAGGAACAGTTTTTTATATAAAATGTTTTAAAAATCTGATTTTAATTTGACGTTTCTCGAAAATGAAGTTACAAAAAAAATTTTTTCTACAAAACAGCTTGGAATTATAAGTTGAAACATTTTGAGGTTATAAAAGAACGTTTGAGGTTAGATCATACCAAATTTCATGTTTCCAACATCAACAGTTTTTTGTATAAAATGTTTTAAAAATCTGATTTCAATTTGACGTTTCTCGAAAATGAAGTTACAAAAAATTTTTTTTCTCCAAAACGGAATGGAATTATGAGTTGAAACATTTTGAGGTTATAAAAGAACGTTTGAGGTTAGATCATACCAAATTTCATGTTTCCAACATCAACAGTTTTTTGTATAAAATGTTTTAAAAATCTGATTTCCATTTGACGTTTCTCGAAAATGAAGTTACAAAAAAATTTTTTTCTCCAAAATGGCTTGGAATTATGAGTTGAAACATTATGAGGTTATAAAAAAACGTTTGAGATTAAATCGTACCAAATTTCATGTTTCCAACATGAACAGTTTTTTATATAAAATGTTTTAAAAATCTGATTATAATTTGACGTTTCTCGAAAATGAAGTTACAAAAAAATTTTTTTCTCCAAAACGGCTTGGAATTATGAGTTGAAACATTTTGAGGTTATAAAAGAACGTTTGAGGTTAGATCATACCAAATTTCATGTTTCCAACATGAACAGTTTTTTGTATAAAATGTTTTAAAAATGTGATTACAATTTGACGTTTCTCGAAAATGAAGTTACAAAAAATTTTCTTTTCTCCAAAACGGCATGGAATTATAAGTTGAAACATTTTGAGGTTATAAAAGAACGTTTGAGGTTAGATCATACCAAATTCCAACATAAACAGTTTTTTATATAAAGTTTTTTAAAAATCAAATTAGAATTTGACGTTTCTCGAGAATGAAATTACAAAAACTTTTTTTCTCCTAAACGGATTGGAATTAAAGGTTGAAACATTTTGAGGTTATAGAAGAATATTTGAGGTTAGAACATATCAAATTTCATGTCTCCAACATGAACAGCTTTTTGTATAAAATTTCTTAAATATTTGATTACAATTTGACGTTTCTTGATAATGAAATTACATAAAAAAATTTTTCTCCAAAACGATTAGGAATTAAGAGTTGAAACATTTTGGGGTTATAGAAGAACGTTTGAGGTTAGATCGTACCAAATTTCATGTTTCCAACATGAACAGTTTTTTGTATAAAATGTTTTACAAATCTGATTTTAATTTGACGTTTCTTAAAAATAAAGATACAAAAGAATTTTTTTCTCCAAAACAGTTAGGAATTAAGAGTTGAAACTTTTTGGGGTTATAGAAGACCGTTTTAGGTTAGATTATAACCAAATTTCATGCTTCCAACATGAACAGCCTTTTATATAAAGTTTTTTAAAAATCTGATTTCAATTTGACGTTTCTCGAAAATGAAATGACAAAAAATATTTTTTCTCCAAAACGATTAGGAATTAATAATTGAAACTTTTTGAGGTTATAGAAAAACGTTTGAGGTTAGATCATACCAAATTTCATGTTTCCAAGATGAACAGTTTTTGTATAAAAATTTTTAAAAATGTGATTTCAATTTGACGTTTCTCGAAAATGAAATTACAAACAATTTTTTTTCTCCAAAAGGGTTTGGAATGAAGTGTTGAAACTTTTTGAGGTTATAGAAGAACGTTTGAGGTTAGATCATACCAAATTTCATGTTTTCAAGATGAACAGTTTTATGTATAAAAATTTTTTAAAATTTGATACAATTTGACGATTCTCGAGAATGAAATCACAAAAATTCTTTTTTCTCCTAAACGGTTAGGAATGAAGAGTTGAAACTTTTTGAGGTTATAGAAGACCGTTTTAGGTTAGATTATAACCAAATTTTATGTTTTCTGCATAAACAGATTTTTGTTTAAAGAATTTTAAATATCATTGATTTTAATTTGACATCTTTGGAAAATAAGGTTGAAGAGAAGTGTTCATTTCTCCGTAATGGATTAGAATTGAAAAATTTTACCTATATGGGGTTATAAAGGATTGTTGGAAGATAGGTTATACCAAGGACAGTAGAATCTAACAGGACTGCTACATCCATTGTATTTTTGTAGTTCACTAGGGATTGGTTGCCCGCACTCTACGTCACACCATTTGCCACGCCTGGTAACTGTCTGCGTTTTAGAGGTTATATGATAGACATTAATACGTCTAAAAACATAAAACTTCAAAAATAATGTGAATACGTCTAGGATATAACCTCTCAAAATACACAGCAAACGCATAAACCATAACAACAGCTGGGCGTGGAAAATGGTGTGACGTAGTTTGCGGGCAGGTTGTCACAACAATGAATGTAGCAGTCCTGTTAGATTTTACTGTCCTTGGGTTATACCAAATTTTAAGTTTCCAAATTGAAAGGTGCTTTTTGCAGAAAAAAATTATTAATATCAATTCAAATTTGACGTACATATGTGAATGAAGTTATTAAAAACGTCTTTTCTCGAAAACGGTTTGAAATTAAGTTATGAAACTTTTCGTGGTTATAAAAGAATGATTGAGGTTATATGGTACCAAATTTCATGTTTCCAACATGAATAGTTTTTTTTGTGTAAAATTTTTTAATAATTTGATTACAATTTGACGTGTCTTAAAAATGGAGTTACAAAAAAATGTTTTTTTCCAAAACGGCTGGGAATGAAGAATTGAAACTTTTTAGGGTTATAGAAGAAAGTTTGAGGTTAGATCACACCAAATTTCATGCTTCCAACATGAACAGCTTTTTATATAATGTTTTTTAAAGATCTGATTTCAATTTGACGTTTCTCGAAAATGAAGTTACAAAAAATTTTTTTTCTCCAAAACGGTTAAGGATTAAGAGTTGAAACTTTTTGAGGTTATAGAAGAACGTTTGAGGTTAGATCATACCAAATTTCATGTTTCCAAGATGAACAGTTTTTGTATAAAAATTTTTAAAAATGTGATTTCAATTTGACGTTTCTCGAAAATGAAATTACAAACAAATTTTTCTCCAAAACGGTTTGGAATGAAGAGTTGAAACTTTTTGAGGTTATAGAAGAACGTTTGAGGTTAGATCATACCAAATTTCATGTTTCCAAGATGAACAGTTTTTGTATAAAAATTTTTAAAAATGTGATTTCAATTTGACGTTTCTCGAAAATGAAATTACAAACAAATTTTTCTCCAAAACGGTTTGGAATGAAGTGTTGAAACTTTTTGAGGTTATAGAAGAACGTTTGAGGTTAAATCATACCAAATTTCATGTTTCCAAGATGAACAGTTTTTTGTATAGAAATTTTTAAAAATTTGATTATAATTTGACGTTTCTCGAGAATGAAATCACAAAAATTCTTTTTCTCCAAAACGGTTAGGAATTAAGAGTTGAAACTTTTTGGGGTTATAGAAGAACGTTTGAGGTTAGATCATATTAAATTTCATGTTTCCAACATGAACAGTTTTTTGTATAAAATGTTTTAAAAATCTGATTGCAATTTGACGTTTCTCGAAAATGAAGTTACAAATAATTTTTTTTCTCCAAAACGGAATGGAATTATGAGCTGAAACAATTTGAGGTTATAAAAGAACGTTTGAGTTTAGATCATACCAAATTTCATGTTTCCAACATGAACAGTTTTTTGTATAAAATGTTTTAAAAATCTGATTTCAATTTGACGTTTCTCGAAACTAAAGTTACAAAAAATTTTTTTTCTCTAAAACGGCATGGAATTATAAGTTGAAACATTTTGAGGTTATAAAAGAACGTTTGAGGTTATATCATACAAAATTTCATGTTTCCAACATGAACAGTTGTTTGTATAAAATGTTTTAAAGATCTGATTTCAATTTGACGTTTTTCGAAAATGAAGTTACAAAAAAATTTTTTTCTCCAAAACCGAATGGAATTATGAGCTGAAACAATTTGAGGTTATAAAAGAACGTTTGAGGTTAGATCATACCAAATTTCATGTTTCCAACATAAACAGTTGTTTGTATAAAATGTTTTAAAAATCTGATTTCAATTTGACGTTTCTCGAAAATGAAGTTACAAAAAAATTTTTTTCTCCAAAACGGCATGCAATTATGAGTTGAAACATTTTGAGGTTATAAAAGAACGTTTGAGGTTAAATCATACAAAATTTCATGTTTCCATCATGAACAGTTTTTTGTATAAAATTTTTTCAAAATCTGATTAGAATTTGACGTTTCTCAAAAATGACATTACAAAAAAAATTTTTTCTCCGAAACGGTTAGAAATTAAGAGTTGAAACTGTTTGTGGTTATAAAAGAACGTTTGAGGTTAGATAATACCAAATTTCATGCTTCCAACATAAACAGTTTCTTGTATAAAATCTTTTCAAAATCTGATTAGAATTTGATGTTTCTCAAAAATGAAATTACAAAAAAAATTTGTTCTTCTAAACGGTTAAAAAATCAGAGTTGAAACTTTTTGAGGTTATAGAAGAACATTTGAGGTTAGTTCATACCAAATTTCATGTTTCCAACAAAAACAGTTTCTTGTATAAAATCTTTTCAAAACCTGATTAGAATTTGACGTTTCTCGAAAATGAAGTTACAAAAAATTTATTTTCTCCAAAATGATTAGGAATTAAGAGTTGAAACAGTTTGGGGTTATAGAAGTACGTTTGAGGTTAGATCATACCACATTTCATGTTTCCAACATGAACAGCTTTTTGTATAAAGTTTTTTAAAAATTTGATTACAATTTGACGTTTCTCGAAAATGAAGACACAAGAACTTTTTTTCTCCAAAACGGTTAGGAATTAAGAATTGAAACTTTTTGGAGTTATACTAGAACGTCTGAAGTTAGATCATACCAAATTTCATGTTTCCTAAATAGATATTTTTTAAAAATAAGGTCAAAAAGAAATATTAAACCTTTACGAGGTCATAAAAGATAGTTCAAACATAAATTGTACCAAATTTTAACGATTTTTTATATAAAAAAAACTGTTTTTACGACTTTTTCGTGCTCCACTTACCTTTCCAGTGCTTTGCAGAAGCTTCATCATCGTTTTTACTCTTGTGGCCGTTGCGGGAGCGCTATCACCTTTAAAACAAAGGGTAAATAACAACACAACGTCTCCGGTTCAGGTTCAATTAATGCTTTTTAGAAAGCTTTTAGTTTACACCTTTTTTTACAACCGCAAAATCATTATTACAAATTATAATCGTACCTGAAACTATTTGATTGGCCGTAAGAATGTCTTCTGGTTGCAATTTCACCTCCATCTCGCGCAATCTTGTATTTAAATCTCTCGTATGCAGAAATAAAAAGAATGTTGTCGATAAAGCCATTAAAGCTATTAATTCACTGGCTCTATAAAACAAAAAGAAATCAAAGTCAGTATAAAAATAAAAAAAAAATAATAATAAATTTTTGTTGTGGTTTGTTTTGTGATAATTTAACAAGAATCTTTATTATTGTCTTGTGGTTTTTATGGTGTAAACTATTTTTTGCTCTTCTAAATTCTAATGTACGTTACATGGAGAAATTGAAATTTCTATTTCAACGTCATTTTAAGAGAGAAAGGGCGATGACTAAACTCGTTGCATTGTATACATTTTTAACGTTATTATCCACTTTAAAAGCGTTCAAAATGGAAATTGAATTAGCGACAATCGATCAATTACGTTTGTGAACAATGGAAATAGAAAGGAATTGCGGAAAATTGTATTTCACCCATTGTTCCTTGTAATCGCTTGACTTTAACAACGATGAGAACTTGCTCTGTTTTACTAATTTTGTTATAAAACACTTAAAAATTGATGTTTGATTTGATTTCTTTTTTAATTAATTAATTGATCGTATTACATAAAGTTAGAAATAAATTTAAAAGATAGATCGCGTGTGGTTACACATAAATTCTCACACTTATTACGGTAACAGGAGGAAAAACGAGAATATAAGGGAAACTTGTGTATCTAAGTAAATTACTGGATTTACCATCCGGAGAAATGGAGTTCTCGCTGACATAAGAGTAATTAGTATACGCCCAAGACGGGTTATAACAGAAAGTGTTGTTTATTAGCTCTATTTTAGTCTGCGAGAAAGTTCCGATGATGTACATTAATTCTTATAAATACGTAAATATGCAATGAAGATTTTCGAATTAGCATTTCTATTCAACTATTAACCGAAATAAGAATCTTAACTTTCCAATTCTATTTCCTCTTCAATTGAAGTGTAACAAATCAAGTTGTAAAAAGTTTAATTTAATTTGACGTTTGAAAATTACGGTAACTCACAGCTCATTTGATACACTAGATCCACTAGATAGTTTAAAATCTAAAGAGATGTCATAATGTCATGACGTACATTTGTTGCTATGTATATTAACAATTAACCCTTTGTGTCCCAAGAAGTAAAAAATTTTGAAACTGCGACAGAATTAAAACGCTATCAAAATACACTCAGAAAGGCCCTTGGAATCAATTTTAGCAAAATATGCAATCCCCCAATAATGGTACTTGAGTTGCTTTAGCAGAACAATTTTCACAACTTCCTCTTTCTTTTGAATTTGCGCTACGACATTTTCGTGGACGTAGTAAATTTAAATATTTATTTATCAGACCTGTAGCTAGAGAACGACGAAAATCTGATAGAATATTGAAAAAAAAAATATTGAGCAAAAACTACCATTTTCGCATAATGTAAGTGTNACAAGAACAGTTTCTTGTATAAAATCTTTTCAAAACCTGTTTAGAATTTGACGTTTCTCAAAAATGAAATTACAAAAAAAATGTTTTCTTCTAAACGGTTAGAAAATCAGAGTTGAAACATTTTGAGGTTATAGAAGAACGTTTGAGGTTAGATCATACCAAATTTCATGTTTCCAACATGAACAGTTTTTTGTATAAAATTTTTTAAAAATCTGATTTCAATTTGACGTTTCTCAAAAATGAAATTATAAAAAAAATTTTTTCTCCTAAACGGTTAGGAATTAAGAGTTAAAACATTTTGGGGTTATAGAAGAACGTTTAAAGTTAGATCATACCAAATTTCGTATTTCCTAAATAGATATTTTTTTAAAATAAGGTCAAAAAGAAATATTAAACTTTTACGAGGTCATAAAAGATAGTTCAAAGATAAATTGTACCAAATTTTAACGATTTTTTATATAAAAAAAAACTGTTTTTACGACTTTTTCGTGCTCCACTTACCTTTCCAGTGCTTTGCAGAAGCTTCATCATCGTTTTTACTCTTGTGGCCGTTGCGGGAGCGCTATCACCTTTAAAACAAAGGGTAAATAACAACACAACGTCTCCGGTTCAGGTTCAATTAATGCTTTTTAGAAAGCTTTTAGTTTACACCTTTTTTTACAACCGCAAAATCATTATTACAAATTATAATCGTACCTGAAACTATTTGATTGGCCGTAAGAATGTCTTCTGGTTGCAATTTCACCTCCATCTCGCGCAATCTTGTATTTAAATCTCTCGTATGCAGAAACAAAAAGAATGTTGTCGATAAAGCCATTAAAGCTATTAATTCACTGGCTCTATAAAACAAAAAGAAATCAAAGTCAGTATAAAAATAAAAAAAAAATAATAATAAATTTTTGTTGTGGTTTGTTTTGTGATAATTTAACAAGAATCTTTATTATTGTCTTGTGGTTTTTATGGTGTAAACTATTTTTTGCTCTTCTAAATTCTAATGTACGTTACATGGAGAAATTGAAATTTCTATTTCAACGTCATTTTAAGAGAGAAAGGGCGATGACTAAACTCGTTGCATTGTATACATTTTTAAAGTTATTATCCACTTTAAAAGCGTTCAAAATGGAAATTGAATTAGCGACAATCGATCAATTACGTTTGTGAACAATGGAAATAGAAAGGAATTGCGGAAAATTGTATTTCACCCATTGTTCCTTGTAATCGCTTGACTTTAACAACGATGAGAACTTGCTCTGTTTTACTAATTTTGTTATAAAACACTTAAAAATTGATGTTTGATTTGATTTCTTTTTTAATTAATTAATTGATCGTATTACATAAAGTTAGAAATAAATTTAAAAGATAGATCGCGTGTGGTTACACATAAATTCTCACACTTATTACGGTAACAGGAGGAAAAACAAGAATATAAGGGAAACTTGAGTTAGATTACTGGATTTACCATCCGGAGAAATGGTGTTCTCGCTGACATAAGAGTAATTAGTATACGCCCAAGACGGGTTATAACAGAAAGTGTTGTTTATTAGCTCTATTTTAGTCTGCGAGAAAGTTCCGATGATGTACATTTCTTATAAATACGTAAATATGCAATGAAGATTTTCGAATTAGCATTTCTATTCAACGATTAACCGAAATAAGAATCTTAACTTTCCAATTCTATTTCCTCTTCAATTGAAGTGTAACAAATCAAGTTGTAAAAAGTTTAATTTAATTTGACGTTTGAAAATTACTGTAACTCACAACTTATTTGATACACTAGATCAGTGTTGTCCACTAACTTTTGATCAAGATCGACTTTTTATATAAATGTCTTGCCAAGATCAACCGAAGGGTTTAAATTAAAGTAACCTTCCTTTTTTTGCTCTGAGGCCCAGATATAGATATTTCAGATTCATGATTTTTTTGGTAATCGACGTTATAGTCACCACTGATTTAGAGCTTATAAATAAAAAATGGTAACAATTGAGTTCAATATTTTTATGGATCTAGTCTTTATGGCCCATTACTAAGGTTTTATGTATAAAAAGTATTTCCCCATCGCTTTTAGTTTTTGAGTTAGAATTGAGTTAATTTTCGAAAATCAACAATTTTGATGTTTAATCGATTTAGAGCTTATAAATAAAAAATGGTAATAATT